CACACACACACACACACACACACACACACACACACACACACACACACACACACACACACACACACACACACACAAATTGTGCTCTGTGGTGCTTCTGAGAAGAAATGACTGACACAACTGGGATCAATTCAGTGAGTTTCTGAAAACGTCAGGAAGGACTGATGAAAGATGACACACAACAGAGCTGTACAGTAACACAAAACGAGTATATAAATAAAAACAGTCAGCCGTTTATTAGGAAGTTGTTGGAAGGGTTTCTCCGCTCACAGCTAGTGACTCCTGGTGACGACAGTGCCTAGCCTGATCCAGATACAGTGCTACTTGCTAAGACTGAGGACTCTACCAAAGTGGTACATCACTAACTGGCGTATAAACAAAACAGAATACCCAATGATGACATTAAAAAAAATCTCATGGCATTCTGACCATGGAGGTTTGTGTTATTAGAGAATGACAGGAAACAATAATAAGCTTGGTGGAGGAAGTAAAGCCTTGAGACTTTGAGAACAGGAGGAATATGGCACTGGACATTGTGGAGTTTGAGCAATACTACTGAATGAATGAGATCATAGTAACTGGACTAAAAATGAAGTAAAGTGGCAGTGACAATGACGGAGAGTAATCATGTGTGTGACCTGACTAAATACACACAAGGGTGATTAGGGGAAGTGAAAACACATGGGGAAACAGCTGACTGACATGAACCTAATGACGGGACAGGGGAAGTGAAACTAAATACAATGAACAAAGAACACAAGACTCCTTCAAAATAAAACAGGAAACATGGTGAAAAATACAATAAACAACGGAATAAAACTAAAATACACAAGCCACTGGGTCACAGATCCAGTACTGTGACACTTTATTTTCCTAAGAGCCTTTTTGCCTAGAACTTTACAAGATCAACAGGACCCTTAGAGCCTTCATCAGGAACTCACTGGGGACGTGGCGCACAACACTAGAGGCCAACTTAAAGTCAATAGCACACATCACCATGTACACATCACCACCATTTATTTCCCATGTCTACTCTGTGCCTTTCCCATGTCAGACGTTTCATGTCTCTATGTTCCCTGTGTCTCCACAGTCAGTCGTATCTCGATGTTGCAGTTTCTACTCTTGTCTCTGTGCTCCATGTTTGCTCTGTTTTTCCCTGTCTTGCATTTCCTGTTTTACATTGATAGTTTCATGTCCTGTGTTTAGTATTTTGAGATTTCCTTCCCCTTTGTCTCTTTATGTCAGATTAGTCCCAGCTGTGTTTTCCTCCTCTTTCCCATTCTCTCTTCACTCCCTGGTGTATGTAAGCCCTGTGTTTTCCTCTGTCTGTTGTCGCGTCGTACACCATCTTTCAATTCAATTCAATTCAATTCAATTTTATTTATATAGCGCCAAATCACAACATAAGTCGCCTCAAGGCGCTTCATAGATACAGAAAAAAACCCAACAATCATATGACCCCCTATGAGAAAGCATCTTTGCTGTGTGTTTCCTCCGTTTCCTAGTCCTCTGTTTCCCTGTTTAGTTCTTTAGTTTCCTAGTTCTTTAGTTTTATTTTTATGTTTTTTATTTCTAGTTTTTTGTTTTCTGTATAAATGTAAATGGCCTGTATTTGTATAGCGCTTTTCTAGTCCCTAAGGACCCCAAAGCGCTTTACACAACCAGTCATCCACCCATTCACACACTGGTGATGGCAAGCTACATTGTAGCCACAGCCACCCTGGGGCGCACTGACAGAGGTGAGGCTGCCGGACACTGGCGCCACCGGGCCCTCTGACCACCACCAGTAGGCAACAGGTGAAGTGTCTCGCCCAAGGACACAACGACCGAGACTGTCCAAGCCGGGGCTCGAACCGGCAACCTTCCGATTACAAGGCGAACTCCCAACTCTTGAGCCACAATCGCCCTTGTGTTGTAGTAATATGTCCAGTAATAAAGCTGCCATTTTCATTTAAATTGAGTCCTGCGTTTGGGTCCTACATCCTACCTGCCACACAGCACAGCCATGACACTCAGTGAGATCATTAACAAGACTGCATACGGATACCAACTGTGAATTGGAGAAATCACCAGCCATCTTTACATGGATGACATCAAGCTGTGTGCCAAGACCAATCGAGACATCGATTCACTGGAATGTCATTCAGACTAGAGAAGTGTAGTTGGATGGTAAAAAACAGAGAGGGAATATAGTCAGAACTGAGGAGATCGCACAAGAAGGTAACACTGCAGACACTGAGGACAGCTACAAGTACCTGGGAATCCCACAGACAAATGGGAACTATGAAGAGGACACTAGGAAAGCCGCAACCACCAAATACCTGCAGAGGATCAGGCAAGCGCTGAGGAGTCAGTTGAGTGGTAAGAACAAGACCTGGGCAATCAACGGCTACGCCCTGCCGTGGTTTAGATACAGCAGGGTGTATCTAAACCACGGCAAGTTGGCCAAAGGAGGAGATGGATGTCACTGACATCAAGACAAGGAAGCTCCTGACATTGCATTGAGGGTTTCACCCCAAATCCAGCACCCTGGGACTTTACACTAAGCATAAGGAAGGAGGCTGGGGACTAGTGAGTGTCAGTAACATGGTCCAGGATGAGACAACAAACATCCACAGTTGTGCTTCGTTATTTACGAAGCACAACTGACCATGTGCTTAGTAAATACCTCAGGTAGCAGAAACCAAAGAAAGAAGAGAAGCAAGAGGAGCCACCATAATGGAGGCTCCTGGACAGTATGTACCACTGGCAGACAGAGGAAGTGGCTGACATCCAGAAATCTTACCAGTGACTGGTCAAAGCTGGACTGAAAGACAGCACAGAGGCCCTAATCATGGCAGCACAGGAATTAGCTCTTTGTCTGGGATCCTGAATTTGATCAGCAGTTCATGAATGAGGTTTTGTTGATGTAACCCTTATTTAACTTACATTTAATTTCCTGTTCCTGTTTTTATTGTTCATGATAATAAAATAAAGTAAAATAAAAATTCTGAGATTCACTGATTTACTGATATTACAGAAGAATAGCTCTGCTAACAAGCTCTACTCACTCAGTAACAAACACACTGTATTTAGTCTGATCATTTCCCAGTAACATTTAAATTTACAATAATTGACTACACAGCAGTGGGGAGTAGATTTCATCACAGTGCATGTCTTTCTGACAGTGCTCTAAGTTTAAGAATATAATTCACCCACTGTTATCTTCTTCAATGCCCTGTACCAACATAGAGCAGAGCAGCTACCTGAACAGAGGTCGATTATCTTGTTTATAACTTTACCTCCTCACTACGTATGACTCTGGATACTGTAGCTCTGGTGAAAACTAAGGCCTCAAATCAGAAGTACCTGACTGCTTGGTATAATTCTCAAACATGTAGCTTAAAGCAGATAACTCGTAAGATGGAGAGGAAATGGCATGTCACAAATTAAAAGATCATGATTTAGCCTGGAGAAATAGTTTGTTGCTCTATAAGAAAGCCCCACGTAAAGCTAGAACATCTTACTATTCATTAATGATTGAAGAAAATAAGAACAACCCTAGGTTTCTCTTCAGCACTGTAGCCAGGCTGACGAAAAGTCAGAGCTCTGTTGAGCCAAGCATTCCTTTAACATTAACTAGTAATGAGTTCATGAACTTCATCGCAATTTTTTTTTAACCATTAGAGAAAAAAATACTCATAATTATCTAACAGATGTAACGTCATGTACAGCTACTTTTGTTGATATTTATTTAGACTCAGCTGCACTCACCGCTGTTGCTGAGAAAAACCCAATGGACTCCAGTGAGTCTTATTTTAGAAACAAACAGGACTCAACTGCAGCTCTGCTGCTGCTCTCTCACACTTTCACTTCTGGAGAATGACGTTGAACTTCTCGTCTTTCAGTTGTTGCTCCGCCTCTATCTGCAGCTATGTGTCTGTGTTTGCTGCCTCTGCCTTTACAGGAATTTATACTTAGTGACTTTATGCAGCAGGTGGGAGGAGTGAAGAGTGGTGTGTGGGTAAAGTTCACACAGTAATGAAGGCCTCAGGTGATCAGAAGAAACTCACCTGAATTTCCTTTTTCCGCAGCAGACTGAGAGCTTCTGGTGGACACTGAAGCTGACAGATGTTTCTTCTGAGCTGAAATGATGCTTTAAATTGAATATGAATGGTTTAACTACTGCCAGCTTGATGGCCTGTGGTACATAGCCGATTATTAGAGATAGGTTGATCATCCCAAAAGGTTGACTCTGTTCATCTGGACGTAGCGTTTTCAGTGGAAGAAACGTTTCATCACTCATCCAAGTGATTCTTCAGTCTCAGCCGACTGCAGATTTCCCCAACAATATAAACAGCACATTTGCACAATGACTGAAACTAGCACCACTGAATGAACAATGGGCTGTCAGGTATGCAAATGAATATGCAAATTGTCAATTTGCATATTGATGCAATGTTCAGATAAACAGAATCAACTTTTTGGAATTTACTTACCTGGATGATTGAGCATGCATGAAGACATAGGTTAATCATATTTAAGATTGAATGACCAGTAATGGTCAAAACTTTATTTGTGAAGAAGTTCATGAAGTTAACGTTAACTAGTTACTGGTTAGCGTTAAAGAAATGGTTGGCTCAACAGAGCTTAACAAAAGATCTGGCTGTGGTAGGCTCGTGTCTAGGACTTGGCCATGGTGTGTAAGGCCCGGCTGTGAGGATGACTGTGCAAAGTTTTCCCTGAGTTCTTGTTCAGAGCAAAGCTTCAAGGTGAAGCTGATGGTTCAAATTTGATCCTATTTTGAGATACTGGGCTCCATCTCCTGCACACTGTTTATCTACTTATTTCTGTCTGTGCCAGGTGAGCTGGCGTTCCTCTAGCAGGCCAGTTCAGGCCGGAATAGGAAGTTTAAGTTTGGTTGACTTTCCCAGCTCCTACCTCCAGGCAGCTTGGTGTCTGATTTGACTGGTCTATTTCTGGCTTTTAGCATTCAAGGACACAGCCTGCGAGAGCATGTGTGTGTGTGTGTGTGTGTGTGTGTGTGTGTGTGAGAGGCAGAGTTAGAAAGATGAAGGGAGGGAGGGAGGAAAGGAAGATGCTAGAGCCGTGATGAGCTGGACATCATCTTCTAAAATCAGTTTCGTGTTTACAGCTTCGAAGTACGTCTGACACACCTGTGTGCGATATGGCCCCAGTTTCCTGTTTATTAGGGTCACCTAGCTGAAACTGAACCTCCTCCATGAAGGTTGCAGGCTGAGAGTAAATAATAAAAACCACTGTATGCAGGTTTACCCAAAGTTTATACAGCACTACAGCTCCCTCTTTGTTTCACTCACAGGTCCAAGTTTGACTGCTTTTAATCATGTTGAGTTGATTTTCTATCTTTTTGTTGTCATTTTGCATTTTTTAAATTCACAATATACATTTTTGGAGGTGTTTAGTTAACATAATTGTTTATTGCTATTTTTGTGGTCATTGTGTTTGAAGCTGTTGTTGGAGGGTTGAAAGCTCGGAGACTTAACCTGGCCTCAGTGTGGCTGCTGCAGGAATTGGAGATAAAGAGCGTGTCTGAATGAGGCGTCGCCTGCTCTCGGTGGTATTTTACAGCTTTTAGTCTGTGCTGCAACGTCTTTTAGTCGATCAGTCTTCTGTTTCAGTTCCCATGTCCGTCACTGGTGGCTTGAGGCTGCAGACACGCTGACTTCCGTGCAGGAGGCTGCCAGATAAAGTTGCTTAATCCGTCACCTCTGATAATGCAGCCTGTAGCAATTGTTCAGTTAACAGGTGACATTTTCCCTTCAAACGCACTCCCCCTCCTCCTCCCCCACCTTATTTACCTCAGAACGCCACAAAAGGAGAGATGCCTGCATAATTAACTTGCCGGTTAGGCGGCTGATAATTGCCGCTACTTTGAAAAAGCTGTACAGCTAAATGATCAGCGGTGTGTGTGTGTGTGTGTCTATAGGTGGAATCCTTTGTCACAACGCACCAGAGCTGCTGTTGTTTCTTCTAAATGGAAGAGGAAGAGATAATGGCAGCAGGAAAGGGCATGTACAGGCAAACATGACTGTTTAAAATTAATCTTCACACAGAGACATTTTAAATGATTTTCAAACAGCTCCATGATGACAGCATGTGTGGAAGAAAGCTTTGCAGGTGTGGTTTGTATGCAGAGCAGAGTTCAGCCTGAAGACTTCAGACGAGGCAGGTTGTCAGTGGCTGACAGGTAATGACACAGAAACACAGCAGCGATCATGCTGACAGATTTGGGTGAAGCTGAGTCACTTCCTTCACTCCGCATTCTTATTTACAGCACTGAGTGAAAAGTTTCAGTCACTAGTTCCAACGCTCTGCACCATCAGGTAGGCATCTGATTTATTCTCCAACAGGATGATGATTCAAAACATCCAACCAGAGAAGAACAAGGAGCTCCACCAGATAACAGACAGAGGAAAAATCTCAGCATCAGTGAGTCAGACTGGGATACATACATAGCTGGACTGGCCATCGGGCATACCGGGCATTTGCCCGGTGGGCCGCTGGTGATTTTTTGTTTTTATGGGCCGATGGATTTTTAAAAAATTTTTTTTTATTTTTTAGGAAGGGTATATATAATGAAAGGTGTTGGATTGGCCAGTTGGTCATGATCGACTCTGGGCTGGACCAATTACAGCCGAGGAGGCCGGATGCACCCGCCCCCTTGTTTAGCAATCACGTCATTTTCGCGCATTGCATGCCGGGAACTCGTGGCAAAACAATCCAAGTACCGCATCAAATGCAAGCATTTGCAGCACTGCAAAACGTTCATTCTCCGGTTCCAATACCTTCTTGTTTTTTCTTTGCCGCACAAAAAGGGAATGTACAAAACAAAAGGAGAACAATGCCGGTCCGTACAAAGACAGACTCGACGAAAAGACAAAGAAAAGATACGAGGAAAAAATCAAAGGAGTGAAAGGGTCAGACCCTTACGAGCACACAGAGTGGACAAAAGACGTTAGCGTGCTGCCCAACTTTCACCACGCTCAGATTTATAATCATACGGTTCTTGGAGTGAGTGCCCACACTCATGAAGTTTAGAAACTTCAGGTCACTGCAACAAGCCCAGGTACAGTTTACCGACGGATGGGTACAGGACCTTGAAATGCACCGTGTAGAAAGTTTGCCTGTCTCACAAATCGTCGTCATAAATACACATTCGTTAACCGTTTATTAATATAACCTTTGAGCTCAACGGTAATTAATTAGTAGTGGAAATAATTTCTGGTAGCATTACAGAAATTTAGCAGTGACAATAATATTGTATGTTGTAATCGCACTGGACAATTAGTGATACAAAACAACTGTTTTATCCTGTGAATAAAAGTATATGTTTTTGTCAATGTACCATGGTAATAACAGAAGCGAAACGCAATATTGTGTCAGGACAATTCACTATTTATGCACAATAAACAAAGGAGCATAGCGCGACAATTTCTGTTCAGCGCCAAACTTGCTTGTAACCTATATCACCAATTATGTTAAGAAAAATGACGCATTAACTACTACAAAACTCTGACCTTTGTGGGAATGCTTGGAGCAGACTAACATGTGAGCTGGAGTGTTCTGAGACGTTATATTTGGTATATCCAGACCATCCGTCGGCTCTTGCTTCGGAAACATGGCTTAAAACATTTCTCTTCAACGATGTAATCCGATAAAAAAAAAAAAACGATCTCTTTACCCGTCGGCTTCCCGTGGCTGTCATGCGACCGCCTATTGCAGTTAATAATACAACAGCTTCTTGACATTTTTTGGGTTTCTTTTTATCGCTGTGTAACTGAGTTCAATTGAAAGCCTGCGTGCGCTAGTACCTCTTGCCACAAGTTCCCAGACTCCTTTGCGGTTTTACCCCTGACATTTTCAATCTTTATCCTGGTGGGCCGCTCTCTAGTCAAAATGCCCAGGCCGATTTTTTGTCCCAGTCCAGCCTTGGATACATAGACTGAATTCATGAGTCCACACAGGAAACATTGATCTCACCTCTCAGGTTTACCTGGTATACGCCTATATATGACACGCAAAATCAGAACTTCATGAAGTACCAGCAGTCAGTAGATGTGAAAATCATCATTCCACCAGAGGTCGAAGAGAGGCTTCAGTGTGTGCAGGTCCTGACAGGTCAACGGCCTGCATCCACACTTCAAAGCCTCCACCCACAGTCAGGCTGCAGTTCGTACGTGTGAACCTCTGAGATGTTTGGATGTGGGTCTCTGTGATGAGATGCTCGTGGTTGCAACAGGGTGACATTAACCCTTTAAGACCTAGTATAGAACCAAGGCCGCCAGAGCTTATATTATATTTTTACATGCTGTAGTGCCATTTTTGGGAGCATTCCAAGTCGCTATACATCAAATCAACCATTAAAGCCCATATTTTAATAATATGTATGCATTAAGCGCATAGTAATTACATAAATTGCAAAAAATGCAATAAACTACAAAAAAATTGAAAATTGTTTTTGTTTTTTTAACATATATTTCTAGTTAGAGAAATTTAAGAGGCTTATCCCTCAAAACTGTAAATACAAAAAAGTTGCACAAAATAGTTTCCCACCACAGAAAATTTACTTTAAGTGTCTTCATAGTTTTATTTTTGAAATACACCAATTTTTATATACTGCAGGAAAAACGAAAATAAATATTATAATGCAAATTTGCAAAAAAACAGCATATGCATCAAAATAAACTATTTCCAGCAGTGCAATAGGAGTCCTAAGCATCCCAGAAACAACACAGAAAGTCATGAAGTCAAACATAAGTTTTAAAAACACAAATATAGGCTCATAAGG